AGCAATAATAGAAAATCAGAGTGTTCCGTGAAGCCCAGTGTGTCCACGCGCCAATCGAGCATTAGCATGCCGAAAAGAGAAAAGGGTGATTTTTTTTTTCCTGAAATGGCATCTGGCATACGTTGTCCGATCGATCACCCGATTGAAATCGGATGATCGTTCGTGGAATAGTGCCGTCGTCTTGTAACCGTGGAGAGTAGCTTTTTTTGGCGCGCAATAACAACGCGTCCATCTTCCTTAGGAATAGTTGCTCGCAATCTTGTATGGATTCATCAATGAGTTTGAAGATCTTGTCGTTTTTAGACATCCAGATGGCCCAACATAACAAAATGATAATCTTCATGAAGAAAAGATGGCTGATCTGACTTCTTAAAAGCTCATTTGAGGAAGGATCCAGACTAGGGTTAAGAACCTCTCAATTTTCCGAGCAAACTTATTTGAAATCATGAATGTAACATGCGAGAGAAAACCTGCGATGAGAAAACCAAGACTTAAAAAGATTTTCGCCCGGAGAGCCACATGCGGCGACTAGCTTTTGACTTAGGTGTTTGCTCGAACTGATCAGAAAAGAACTTGCCAAATGATGCTCACAACATTCTGAAATAAAGGACGTGTAAAGGTTTTATCAATTCACTGAAGAACCTTAGAAAAGATGCCACTGGACCATGTCAGCATATGGTCCTTCAAAGTCGTGTATGCATGCGTGAAACAGTGTGTCATCATCGGTGCACAGTCTACAGTACAAGCGAATTGTTGAGCAACTCCTTGCTGCATGCATGTTTTTGCGTCTCTGATCATAATAAGAGGTGTAGGGACTATGATGTCTCTGAGAGGAGGGGTGAATTAGGCAACTTAAAAATCTACTTCTAATTTTGGCCTCTAATTCATCTTAACAAAACATATGTAAGAAACTAATCTATCTAAATGTGCAACTACATTTTTGCTAATATGTTGCTATCTCTACTGCAAAAGAGTCTTTCAACCTAGCTTCCAATCCTATCAACTAGCCTATCAACTAAGTTAGGAAAGTAAAGCACACAACCTAGGTAACAATGTAAATGCGGAAGGTAAAAATGAGGTAGAGATGCAAACTCCCGTCGACGACTCCGGTATTTTTACCGAGGTATCGAGAAGCTCTCAAGCTTCCCCTAGTCCTCATTGGAGCCCCTCACAATGAATCCCTCGCAAGGGCTAAGCTCCTAGTCGGGTAACCCCGTGAATAGCCACGTGCCTTCCCCACGCGCAAGTGGGTCTCCGGTGTGCCTTTTGGCGAGCCTCTTCTGGATCGCTCTCCACCGTCTTCACTATTAAGCTTTCCACCAAACGCCGCGGGCCTTGTTCCCTTCGGTACACGGTGGCGGCCACACCACAAACGCGGTTAGTGTGGTCTCGCAAGACTACAAGCCCCGCCGAGTACACACGGTGCACGCAAGCACCTTGGGTTTAGATGTATGCAAACCTAACTAGCAACTAGACCTAAACCTAGAGCAAACGCATATGAGCATAGTCTAACTAACCTAAGCATTTCGCAAAGCACCTACGCTAATTACCAAGTGATCTTTAAGCTCTATGCATTTGGAGAGCACAAATGAAGTGTAGCAACACCCTCCTATCTTCCCTCAGCTCTTTCACCCTTCAAATGGCCGGTTGGAGTCATATATATAGGCCACAAGTGAAGATATAGCCGTTGGGGCCGAGCTCCACGTTTCTGTGTGGGCACTGGACATGGCGGTGCCTGGCACCGAACACGGCGGTGCCAGCCACGTCAGCTAGCCGTTGGTCACTGACAATCGACCGTGGGGGTACTGTTCACTCGGGCGGTGTACCGCCACCCTGAGGGCGGTGACCAGGGCGGTGCCCGAGTCCCCCTTCGCTTCTCTCTGGAATTTTAGGGCGGTGGCACCGCCACCCCCTATCCGGTGCACCGCCACCCCATGGTGGTGACCAGGGCGGTGCACATGACTCTGTCCGGTGCCCCCCTCTTCTTCCAGCTGCAGCAGCCCGTCTCTGGTGGCAGCGCCACCCCTAGGGCGGTGGCACCGCCATCCCTAGGGCGGTGCACACTCAGCCACTGTCCGCTTTCGTTTCTCCACATGGCTTTGTTCGTGCTTTGACATCTTCGCGTCTTGGACTCCTTGCTTCACTTCTAGGCTGTCAACACCTCCTCCAATGTCTTCTTTTGAGTGTTGATCATTTTCTTCATGTTCTAAAGTTGATCCAAGTCCGCGTTGCATCCTATTGAACTATAAAATAAACACTAGAAAACACATTAGTCCAATTTGGTTGTGTTGATCATCAAACACCAAAATCTAAAGTAAATGGGCTTAGGGTCCATTTTCCTTACAAAAGGGACGTGATCAATCTTTTTTTTTTTTGTTGTATGAGACTTGTTTTTTTTTTGCTAAGACCCAATTACACGTAGACGCTCACATACACGAGTACACACTCATCCCTATGAACGCACGCACGAAGACCCTACTCCTATGAGCACCTCTGAAGAATTGAGTTGGACCGGCAAATCTCGTGATTGACGAAGTCATCACAGGCACCTCGCTGTTGATAGGCATGTAGTCATACACGGAAACTGTTTCAGCACCAATGTAATCCAGTAATGCCTCACGGCGAATGGAATATCGTATATAGATGTGCTATACTATACCTCATGTTGCAGCCCCATAGGGACAATGATAAAAGAAGGCGGCTAGGGTTTCAACCACACAACTTTATTTGGCGCAAAGGGTGATGTGATACAACTGAAACAGCTTATATATTTAAATCGACCGAAAGGGAGAGCTAATAATCAGCCCAATTTCAAATTAAAACTCGCCGGAAAGCCGAGGGTTTTGGCAAGGCAATATGTAATTTTGTGTTCTAATATATAACCCTAGGAGTGGTACTGGTACACTGGTACCAGTGGCGATGTGCGAAACTACAAAAGAAATTCACCTGCGTCTTATGCAGACATTAGTACATCACTAAGGGGTCTTTAGATGCTTGCAGCCTATTAGTACTCTGAAACCTTAATTCCCCCATAATCATAGACTAAGAAGGAAGAACCAGGTCAGCTCACTCATTCTTCACCATGGAACTGACAGTTTTGGACCACCCCAATTGGAAAATCTGTTTAAGCAGACTCTTACCTGTGATAAACCGTTCGGATGGTATGGTTCTGAAGGAATTTGGATGGAATTTGAAGGAATTTGTGAGAGGAAAACATGGTTTCGGATAAAAAAAAGAAGCGGGTCAAGCCGGGTTTAAGGGCACGTGAACGGAGCCATTGTATCTTATTATTAAATCTCGAAACATAGTGTCAGAGGCTTGGCCGTTTGCCTTTCCTAAAGAAGCGCTCTGCCAACTGCTGTTCAACAGTTCAGCTATGAATTCTCAAGAGCATTTGGTTTTACTGATCTTTTACTCCATAGCTACTTCCCTTTTTGAGACTAGAGAGATCTTTACTTGCTTTCCCTACCATACAGTACTATTTGTTTATAGGCTTTCCCTGTGTTCACATGGACGCTTATGGATTGAGATGATAAACTTTTGTCAATCTTGTGGGTGTCTTTGGGTGCAAACCAAAGACACCAAGGGAATGAGCCAAAGGATATAGATCTCACTAACTCCTATATATGCTCCACATCTGACACTTCAGATCCAGTGATTTATGCCGGACAGGCTCTTGCATGTAAGCAAGATCTTGACAAGAACGATTCAGGCACTCAATCATAAATCAACCCCCCACATTGGTGCAGGTGCCAATCTACCTTATCCCAGATGTGACTCTGCAAGAACCATTATATTTGTTTAAATTTTCACTATGTTTATATTATATATGAATTCTGAGAATTATATATCTTCTCTATAAAAAAAAGTATTGTATATGTATTATATTAATTAATCCTTAGAAGCCTGTGATATGTATCTTCCAGTGTTCTGTCTGACATTTGGCTGCTGGGAGAACAATATAAGAACTACTAAAGCAATAGGAAATATTGCTTCCAACCGTGTTTCAGCAAGCCAGAATAGTGGCAGTATTGATGATGTTAACAATTCCTGTTGATTCACAATTCTTAGAAAAACAGATTTATAGCTCATAAAACTGATGTTTTTGAAGGGAACACGTGCATTCTATACATGTAGGAAGAGTGTTAACGGCCTGTAAAACGTCTTCATAAATATTGCTAAAAAGCGGGAACCATTTTATCCTAATTTGTGAGCCCACACAGAGAAAAGGTAAAATAGCACATCTTTATTATATTAATTAAACAACAAGCTACCCACTATATATAGTAAGTGGTGAAAAAATTACATATAGTAACCAACAAGGACCAAGAGGTTGCCCACCTAACTCCTTGCCCCTTTTATAATCTCAACGGCCAACTTTCCCAATATGTATATAAAAATAATACCAAAACTTAACACAGGATTAAAAAAGGAAAGTGGAGCATGCATGTGCGCGCGCGCGCACACACACACATATTTTTTTTCTTAATCCGATCCATGGGTCCATACAATCACAAAAAAAATTCTTGTCTACAGACACAATGGCACCCAGACATATACATATGCTGTACTAGCGTACGTCTCCCTACGATCCACTTGGCACATCAAAAAACATGTGTGCTTGCTCTTAGACCAAAACTAGAAAAATAAGCTAGCTAACTGCGTCAACAATTGGACTTGTTCGATCATGCCGAATCACATCAAAGTAAAAATAAGAAATAAATACGGAATGAAGGAGTGGAAAGGAAAAAAAAAAGATATAAATTTGAAAGGGTAGTAATAATAGCACTTAAAATGGATGCTCTGGTAACTATACTATTATTAATACTAGCGAGCATGTCACACTATGCTTATGGCGTACACTTAATTTGACAATATTACCAGATAGAGGACGCTGCGCTGGTCCATGTATGTACCAGTACCATGTACCTCCTGTTGTTGCCATAATAATCCGCTCTGGTTTGCTACCGGCCGGCGTGCGTGCAATTGGGCAATGCAATCTACGGGTCATGGTAGCTCCAGAGGCTCTCCCCGGCCTCGGACGGGTCGGGCGACTCGTCGGAGGTGTCGGGGCTGAGCCTCGGCGGGCTCATCATCATCCCCGCCGCCATGTTCCGCAGGAGCTGCGGCATCTCGAAGATGGCCTCTTCGTCCATGAACTCGTCACCGCCGATCTCCTGCTGCTGTGGCGTCGTGTATAAGCTCGCCGCGTCGTCAGCTGTCGCGCTCGCGCCGCTCATCATCACGCCGTGCTGCTGCTGCTGATGCCGCCGGTGGTCCTGTGCAGCGGCGGCAGGAGGATTATTGGCGGCGGTACCCTGCGACTGCGAGTACTCGAGCTGCGCGGCGGCCGCGGCCGCCGCAGCCGCCGCGCGTATGTCCGCGGGGGACGCGGACGCGGGCGCCGCGCGCGAGGCGATCGCGCCGGGGAAGTTGAGCACGGCGTCGGCGCCGCGCAGCGCGCGCGCCGCCACGTCGTAGGCGGCCGCGGCCATCTCGGCGGTCGGGTACGTGCCGAGCCATATCCGCCGCGCCTTGCGGGGCTCCCGGATCTCCGACACCCACTTGCCGCTCCGGCACCGGATGCCGCGGTAGAATGCATGCTTCCCGGACGACCGCGGCGACGGCTCCCCCGAGCTGGTCGCGGTCGCCATCGGCGCCGGCGCCGTGGCAGCTGATGATGCCCCCGCCGACGACGTCCCGTCGCCCTGATGCGGCAGCAGCAGCACCGGAGAAGGAGAATGAGGCGAGGCTGGACCCGAACCCGAGGCCGCCGCCTGGTGTTGGCTGTGGTGGCTTGCTGCCGCCGGCCCCGGTTGCACTTGCACCGCCGCTGGGGAAGGAGAATGGGGTCGTGGCGGCGGCGGCGGCGGCTGCTGCTCAGCCATGAACCGTTAGGGCACGCCCATCTATTTGGGCACCTGCTGACATGTGCCAAATTCAGCTGCTGCTGCAGTGCACCTATGCGGCACCTACCTATCTAGAGTATGGTGCACACGCACACGCAGGTATATCCCTCCCTCCCCAGCAGCTGTCAACTATTCGAGTGTTGTGCGTGCGTCTCGATCTGTGTGTGCGGGCGTTTGCAGCAGCTCGTGCAATTGGCCAGCAAGAGGAAGCAAGCAAGCTATAGGCGTCATGAGATGGACGAGGGGGGTGCCGGGGTATATAAGGGTTGGTAAAGAAGCGGGAAGGAAGCGTGCGGGCCGCTATGGTGAAATGAAAAGATCTCTAGCTCTCGGCAGGCACAGCCGCACACGCAGGGAGCTAGGTGGAGGCGCGGGACGATGCTGAGGCGGCAGACGCGTAAATTCGAGCGGGGGATGCATGTGTGTGTGTGTATGGCTTGCGCTGAGCTGGTGCCTGAGAAGCAAAGCGCACGAGACAGACGCCCACCTAACTTAAGCTAAGCCGGATAAAACCGCTAGCTTAAGTAGATTAGTAGTAGCTTCGCTTAGCTCTGCTCTCCGATCCCCCACCCCCTGCTGCTGCTTCGTCATATCTTCCCCGGGGAGACAGCGAGATGCCGCCGTCGCTGTCAGCCTGCTCTCTCATAGCCTCTCTCTCTCTTGGCGGGGTTGGGTTGAGGACTCTCTGTCATTAGCCCGCGCGGACAGGTGATTGGTGATAATTCTTCCCCCCCCCCACCCACACACACCCTTTGTGTTGACGGGGGACGGCCTCGCTCACTTGTGTGGGTGACGCGAGATACGCGGGGCGGACGTGGGGGCAGGTTCTGCGGCTGACGGCCTGACGGGTGCCGGACTGCAAGGCTCCCGATGGCCTGCCAGGTGGGGCCTGCTTTTTTTTTCCCCCCGCCGTGGCCATCTGTCCGCTTCCTTCCCCGAAGGCTGCTGTCGTGGTCGCACGCGCACCACGCAGTACGCAGCTGCCTCTCTATAGCGTTGCATGCTAATGCTAATGCGTTTCGGGATAGCGGCGTCCTGTTCATTTCAGACACGGGGGTTGACAAGTATCTGCAGCTGTCGTTTCTCTGTTGGGCTTGGATCGGAACACACAAGCATGAACCTACTTTGGTGCTCAACTTCTCAACGGGGGAAACATATAAGAATACGCATAAAGCAACTCCAACTAGTACGACGTAAGCGAATACGCTTGCGCCGCGCGTCCAGTTTGCATCCCCTGCCAACCCGAGTACCACGTACTGTACGACGTAATCGCCGATAGTTCGATGATGGAGACTTCAGCATGCGGTTGCGGTGGGAATCAATTACTCCTTCCGTTGGTACGAAGAAAAAAACGTACTACGCGTTTAGCTTGCTAGACCACCCCGCCCCCCGCCAGTCGCCAGCGCGCAAGTGGCCGGTCGTCAGCCCGGCCGCGCGCGCGGCGCGGCGCGGCGCAGCGCATTCAGGTCGGTGCGGTTTGTCACGGCCCGCGCGCGGCTCCTGCCCCATGCCTCCTTCGGCGACCTTTTGCTTTGGTTCCGAGACTCCAATTGGCTCGAGGACCGGAAGCGGCGACGACTGCGGCGGGTGTCACACGACCCAGCGTTCACCGGCCCTTGTCACAAACAAAATCTCCCATCCACATCCACCGCGGAATCCACGCTAATATACGTAGGGTGCGTGCCAGCGTTGCACTAGACGATCATGTCCGGACGCTCTCGCGTTTGACCCACGTGGCCACGTGAGCATACGGCGAGGTTCAAATCGACTGAAGATTCATTAGCACGTCAGCAGAGACGGTAAATGCGCGGATTATGGCCTTGATTGCCATATGAAAGCTACTTTAATTAGTATGTCCCGAAGAAGCATCTACTGACTATACTAAATAAGTACTCCTACATAGGATAGGACAACCAATTAAGAGGAGATTCCACCTATTCAGGCAGATCATTAGCTTGTTCGGGAGGCCGTATCGTATCATGGATTATTTACTGCTGGCTGATTTGGTGTGAGAGGAAAACACTGTTCCTGGCTGGAAATTTACGATCATTTACGAGCAAGCGAACAGGCTGCATATCAGAATCAGATCAAGTAGGACGGTTACTACCACCCTACGACAACATATATCCCTTTTGGTAGGTACTAAAAGTGCAAACAGTGATAGTAGACACAACATACAGAAGTTTGGTGTTTAAATTCAGAGGCTAAAGTTTAGGAGTGTCACATCAGGTGTCGTATGGGATGTCACATCGAGTGTTTGGATAGTAATAATAAAACAAATTACACAAGTCCTCAATAATCCGCGAGACAAATTTATTAAGCCTAATTAATCCATCATTAGCATATATTTACTGTAGCACCACATTGTCAAAATCATGAACTAATTAGGTTTAAAAAATTTATCTCGTAAATTAATCTCAATCTGTGTATTTAATTTTATAATTAATCTATATTTAATATTCTATACACGTGTGAAATATCCGATGTGAAAAAAAATAAATATATCGGTAACATGGCACTAGCTACTCCACCTGTAGCGAGCGCGCAAGAGGCCAACCATGCAATAATTTGGCCCGATCCACAGCAACAGATCGATCGGGGTCCAGTGATTGACGTTCTGACGGAACAACTCCGGACACACTATACACTCTACGTTCAGATTAAATAGGGTCTTGTTTAGATTGTAAATTTTTGCAACCTGTATATTGTAGCACGTTTTGTTTGTATTTGACAAACTTTGTCCGATCATGGACTAACTAGGCTCAAAAGATCCGTCTCATGATTTACAACCAAACTGTGTAATTAGTTATTTTTTTTTACCTACATTTAATGCTCCATACATACGTCTAAAAATTGATGTGATTGAGAGAGAATGAAAAAACTTGGAATTTGGAGGTCATCAAAACAAGGCCTAGTTCCGGATCGAGCTGATCAGAAAATTCAGTACGAAGCGACATGTATAGGACCCAACACGTACGGGCACCTTAAAAGGCGTCTAAAAGTGAGCAGCCACGGAGCGTCCACGTCGTCTCCGCGGCCGTCGTTGCGTGCGCAAAACTGCAAATTACACCTTTTTCTTATCCGTTCGCAACATCCATGTACATACACGACGTAAAAGCGATTTTAATAAAAAAAAATACTTATTTATTAAAGGCCGACATAATGCCCCTGGGCCCCTGCCGGACTGGGCCAGCCGGCTGCCGGCCCTTTGGTTGCCTGGACGTGAGTTGGGCGTTTGGGGGTCGTCGTCGTCGATCGAGCGCGCGGCGTCGCCGCCTGTCTAATCCGATGATCAGGTCGCCGTCGTCGAGCCAGCATAGTAGTCCAGTCCGCTGCTGAGAAAACCAGCTGCCGTGGCAGCATGTTTGGAGCAGATGGTTCCAGTCGAATTTATCCTCGAATCTAAACTAGAGAAGTGCTAATAAGCGCACGACACGGCGACTCGTACTGGAGGGTCCGACCCAGTCGTGCGACCAGCAAAAAGGCCTATGCCGAGTGCTGTGTGCACCCATCGGTGCATCGCCCACTTCATTTTCTGTGGGCGGTGCTACGGCGTTTCTTCCCTGTTACGGCAGAGCTTCTCCCTCCGTATGAAAAGGTGGTGTGGCACGTACGCGAGTACCTGCCCCGTATCTCTATGTCCACTGTTCTGCTCCCGAGTCTTGTTAATTAGCTCGACCCCATGTCATGTATGAGCACGACCGTCAAGAAAACCGGCGGAGCGAGCGCATGACCCATCCCACGCCGGCGTCATGGCATCCAGCCGGAGCCCCGGAGGTACAAGTCGGCCGGGAGCCCCCCTTTTCGGGCGACGTCAAATCCGGCGGATTATATTCGCTTGTTGCACGCAGTAAAAGCCGCGTGGAAGGCTGGAGAGCGCTCACGCCCGCCTCTCCGGATCGCGAACCGCGCGGCCTGTGCTGTGCGAGGTGATGCGCCGATTGCTCCTCCACGCCTCCACACGCACGCACCGCCTCCAGCTGCTTGCACCGCGGAGGTGCAGCCTGCCGCTGGACTAGACGCCGACTGATCTGACGCGCGCGCATCCAATCCAATCCACCGCGCAGCGCCTCCACAGTTACTGCTCGCGACTCGTGTAGCCACACGGACGCTGCTTATTCGGCGCTACTTTCCAGCTATGAAACGGTATTTTTCTCTCACAATATTTTTGCATAAGTATCAGCATTAACTAAATTTTAGCATAAGCGAAAAGTGTTTTCCTCTCGACACCTTTTTACCGTGACTGATCGGCCAGGCGCCCCGGTGTCTTTCGGGTTCCTTGACACGGTTTGGAATCACTGCCAGGCAGGCTGATCCAGGACTGTGTCCCTGCGTCCTGCGACCATCAAGTGTCGCAACAACCGTTCGTGGAAGGTGATGTGTCCTTACAGCCGCTCACAGTACGAAAACAGGGGAAAGAGAGAGAGCGAGCAGCGCGAACTGTCCGGGTCGCTGATGAAATGTCACGGCTGTTGGTACAGGAGTAGGAGCCGCGTTCACAGCCTGGACAGGGAGGGAACACCGGAACAACAAGTAGTCAACACTGGAGCAAGTTTAGAATTTCGCATGGAAAGTGAAGCTGCAAATCATCAGGAGAAAACAACAGTGGATGCATTTATTTCATCCCCGAGCCTTTAGGGTGATTGGAACAGGGAAACAGCGAGAGCACGAGATGTGTTCGACTCGAACATGTACAATTAGTTAAATTAATTAGAAATTACTAAACTACTGGTAGTCTGGTACATCAGCACAGTACGTTTGCACAAAAGAAAATGAAAAGAACACTAATTTTCAACCTCCAGCCATCGTGATCTCAATTCTCAAAGAAGTTTGAAAGACGATTATAATAAAAATTTAAAAGCCCCCAATGGATCAACCTGCCACACATCAGTGATGAACAGCAGGCCAGCAGGCGTTCGACAAAACACCTCATCTAGAATGGAACTAGGAGTCATGAGCGATCAATGTTAAGCTTTCTA